AACATGATTTCACACAGTGTTAGGAAACTGTTAATCTGATTAACGATTAAAAATTAACGATTAAAATGTTAATCGCGTTTGACGATTAAAATTAATTAGTCGTAATCAACTGTACGATTAATCATAACATTTTTTAATCGTTAACCGCTGGCTGCGATTACGTTTAATTAATTTAAAACATTAATCGTTAATCCAATTAAAAATAAAATCTGATTAATTTGTCTAGTTTGTCCGAGTTTGAAACCAAACACCAGTTATAGTTATTATTTTGTGTTTTACGCTTATAAAAAACACATAATATAAAAAAATTATAATTATTGTTATTAGTAATACATAAACTGGGAACTTTTACAAACCTAGTTTGTAAAACGTTTGTTGGTATATATCTTAATGAAAATGCACACCAAATTGCTTAGATTGATGAGGAAGCCCGACTTAGCCATACCAGATTAACTTGCTTTGTTTGCACAGGGAAATTCCAGCATAACTCAATTAATCACCAAACCTACTTGATCAAATTAAGAGTTAATGATTAAAAATTAATTTTTTAATCGCGGTTACGATTAACTGCTTAGCCAAATTAAAATTAATCATGACTAACTGTAATCAGTTTGAATTTAATCGAATTAACTAATTATAACATCAATCGATTAATGCCATCATTGATTTCACATACATATCACTATACAAGTTTCAGTTCTCTCCCACAAATACTTCCAGAGATATGTATGTAATATGAAAATTCCAATTTGTATGGGAGGGACCTTGAGTTATCGGACTTACTTTCAGTGTAAGACCATCCTTCCGAAATCCGTAGTAAGTGTACTAAATTTCGTTCTGATCGGAAAACCGGTTAAGGAAGTAGCCTATTTTTCAATCCAGGTCATAAACCATCTTTGAACAAAATTTCATTTTCAAACAGGTGGCAATTCTTAAAAAAGTAGCCTATATTCCCGTCTAGGTCATAAGCTATCTGTGTGCAAACTTTCATGCTAATCAGTTCAGTCATTTACGCGTATTAATTTAATTAAACTTTCCTAATACGTGATAACTCTTAAAATAGTAGCCTATTTTCCAACATAGGTCATCAGCTATCTCTGTGCGAAATGTCATGCAAATCTGTTCAGTCGTTTCCGCGTATTAATGTAATTAAATTTTTTTAACAGGTGGCAACTCTTCCAAAAAATTAGCCTATTTTCCACTGTAGGTCATAAGCTATCTGCTTGCAAAATTTCATACACATCCGTTCAGACTTTTCCGCGTATTAATTTAATTAAACTTTTTTAGCAGGTGGTAACTCTTAAACAAATTAGCCTATTTTTCAACCTAGCTCATAAGCTATCTGTGTGAAAACTTCCATGCAAATCAGTTCAGTCAGTTCCGCGTATTAATTATATTAAACATTTCTAACAGCCTACTTACTAAACTAGGTCATAAGCTATCTGTGTGCAAAATTTCATGCAAATCCGTTAAGTCGTATCCGCGTATTAATATAATTAAACTTTTTAACAGGTGGCAACTCTTCCAAAAAATTAGCCTATTTTTCATAAGCTATCTGCTTGCAATATTTCATGCAAATCCATTCAGTCGTTTCCGCGTATTAATTTTATGAAACTTGTTTAACAGGTGGCAGCTCTTAAGAACAGTAGCCTATTTTCCACTCTAGTTCATAAGCTATCTGTGTGCAAATTTTCATGCAAATCCATTCAGTCGTTCCCGCATATTAAATATATTAAACTTTTTTAACAGGTGGCAACTCTTAAAAAAATAGCCCATTAACCAATCTGGCCCATAAGCTATCTGCCTACCAAATTTCATGCACGTCCGTTCAGTCGTTTCCGCGTGATGATTTCCCAAACATCCAAACATACAAACTTTCACATTAATAATATTAGTAAGGCTAGCTCCCCGTCGCCGAGGTTCAAACCGCTGCTTAGCAAAAACATTTCGTTAAAGTAGTTTGCAAACGACTCTTCGTTACTCCAGGTACGTTTTTCAAAACGGCGTCGCGTAACCAGGAGATTATCGCTACGTGCAAATATTAAGCCATCTCCGTCAACACAAGCTCCAGACTCCTCAGAAACATTTTGTTGGTATTATACCAAGTTGCAGTCACACCTTTCAATTTTAGCTGTACCACCAAAGCAAGCATTTCTTTGTCTACCTTAAGGTCTTCTTGCAGGTGCACCAGTTGCGCACGCCACATCTCGAAATTTTCGCCGCCGTCATAATCGGATAATAGCTGCTTTACTGCATCGAAGGAGAATTCCTTAGTGACGGTGGGCGTCTGTTTTTTGTGCTTCTATCGACAGCTTCAGCCTCAATATTTAAGTTTCTTTTTCGAGCAACTTAACTCTAAGACTCTCGGACTCGACATTTGCCACACTGTTAAACAATCGACGCCGGTCATCTACTTCACAGCTTGTGTGCATTTGTACACCGAACTGCCCATCTATATTGTAGTTTGCATTTCTGTCTGAATTGTTGTCCGCTATGTTGACCATTACATTGTTCGCTACAATTTCCGCTTCATTGACCGCTATGTTGTTTGCTGCAATTACCGCTACATTGTCCGCTACATTGACCGTTGCATTTTCCGCTACATTTTTCGCTGCATTTACCGCTACGTTTTTCGCTGCATTTACCGCTACATTTTCCACTGCATTTACCGCTACATTGTCCACTGCATTTGCAGCTTCGTCGTGTAACTCACTGCTTATTTCGTCACGCCTTTCAGCAGCGTTGTCATTGGATTCGTCAGTTAAATCCACTGGTTCGGTACCTGGGCACAATCCGCGTGCCTCTGCTGATAACTGACTACCCCTTGCTGCTAGTGACGCCTTTGCACCACTTGCGTTTATGCCAACGGCTGCGCACCACGCCTTTAATTGGAGGAGTGTATACTTTTCTGCACTCACGACGTCGTCTCCCATTTTAAACCGCGCGAAAATTTTTATTACAGAAGAAAACTATGTACGTTGGAGTGGCTTCGACGACCACTTCTGATGAAAACGCTTAAACGAACTCTCTAATAAATTACACACGTCTAGTGTGGTTGGTAGTCAATCTGATTCTGATTCTTTTATTCAATGCCAAGATGGTGGTTACCCANAGTAGTCAATCTGATTCTGATTCTTTTATTAAATTCCAAGATGGTGGTTACCCACGCTCTTAACAAAACAACCAAATCTTAAGGTCTAGACATATAACTTAAGGTGTAAACACAATTGCAAAATAGCTTAAGGGCTAGTTACACATCGTATTTGTTGGTCAACGTACATACATGCTTATGCTTACAATTATATTATTATTAATATTAGTAGATAACAATTATTACAAGGTTTAGCCTTTTAAGCTTGTATACAAATTATCGCCGATTATTTGTTTGTACCTGGAGCCACGAAAGTGAATTTAACACAAATAGCCTGGGGAAGCTACAAATTTTGGCATAATAAAAACGTTGAAATCAGTCGAAATCTTGCCAGAGATGTAATTTTTAAGGGCCTTTGAAAAGTAATATTTTATGAAAAATTGTCGAAATGTGTATATATGTGTGTGCAATAGTCGCATGACTTTTAAGAAAAGTTTCAAAATAAACATGTTTCTAAAACGCCGGTGTCAGCGGGCATCGATCTCCAAAAAATATTAATTTGACACCTTAGTCGCACAACGGACACACTGCTTCCGATTACGTACCCTACAAGAACAGTGATAGGCATTTGATTAATCACGTGATAGTCATTGGAGATAGAAATATCTGTCAATACGTGGAAGAAAGAATGTTTCTATCAAGATCTTAAGGCCAATATGCAAAACTTGATGGAAACTTGTATCTACGTGTGTTTGTGCATCTCCCTTCAACTTATGAATTTTATCGACTAATTTAAAATACAGCTGAGCTCGTCACTCTACCACATATTACTTGTCAACAATGATGTTAATACCGACCACAGTTGACTAGTCAAACCTGATGTCGGAACCTGTCACAGTTGAGCCATCATAATTGATGCATAAACCTGATGAGGAATCACACTTGATGTTCATACCTACCACTGTTGATTCAAGTACAAACATCACATTTTAACCTTATTGAAATAAATGTAATTAAAATTCATTTACTTTAGTACTATATTACATACATGTGTAAATTATGTATTTCTCAAATCTAGTAAATATATATATTTTACTAAATAAAAATATATAAAAGTAAATATCTAGATGCTAACACTTTGCGCCATGCTTTGCATCCGAATTNATTGAAATAAATGTAATTAAAATTCATTTACTTTAGTACTATATTACATACATGTGTAAATTATGTATTTCTCAAATCTAGTAAATATATATATTTTACTAAATAAAAATATATAAAAGTAAATATCTAGATGCTAACACTTTGCGCCATGCTTTGCAGCCGATTTGCTATTTGCTCCTGATTGCTGACAATATTAGCTTGCTCCTGGCTGAAAACGCTCTGATTCCGAAGTAAGGCCGTTTGCTTAAATGTAAGAAAACTATAGACTTAATATAAAAACAGATCACAAAAAACGTTACTTACATTTGCTCCTGATTGCTGACAATATTAGCTTGCTCCTGGCTGAAAACGCTCTGATTCCGAAGTAAGGCCGTTTGCTTAAATGTAAGAAAACTATAGACTTAATATAAAAACAGATCACAAAAAACGTTACTTACATTTGCTCCTGATTGCTGACAATATTAGCTTGCTCCTGGCTGAAAACGCTCTGATTCCGAAGTAAGGCCGTTTGCTTAAATGTAAGAAAACTATAGACTTAATATAAAAACAGATCACAAAAAACGTTACTTACATTTGCTCCTGATTGCTGACAATATTAGCTTGCTCCTGGCTGAAAACGCTCTGATTCCGAAGTAAGGCCGTTTGCTTAAATGTAAGAAAACTATAGACTTAATATAAAAACAGATCACAAAAAACGTTACTTACATTTGCTCCTGATTGCTGACAATATTAGCTTGCTCCTGGCTGAAAACGCTCTGATTCCGAAGTAAGGCCGTTTGCTTAAATGTAAGAAAACTATAGACTTAATATAAAAACAGATCACAAAAAACGTTACTTACATTTGCTTCCAGTTTGACAATGAGAGCGTTTAGCATTTTCTGTCCATTGATTATTTCTCTCAATGCTTCCATAATTCTCTAAAAGAGAATATTAAATAGACAACCAGACTTGATTTATGAATGAATTTTAAATATTTTGGAGTCCAACCTTGATTTAAATTTTTTTTTTGTTTCTGCTTACCGTTTTTCTCTGGCAAACTGGCTTCAATGGACTCCACGAATATATCACCTGACAAACTCATGTAAAAGTACATAACTTATTATAACATTGTTTTATTATATATTTTAATATTAAAATGCCTTTTTCTCATTTTGCTTATCTTTCTATTCCGCTTCGAATGCACTTAAATAAATTTTCTTAAAACCCACGCGCGCTTTTCCGGCTTGCAAAAATCTTTTTCTTTTCTTCTTCTTCTTTGGTGTCAAATGCACTGTGCCAATTTCTGTATTCTTTGCCCATTAGCTGCTTCACTCTCGCACAAGCTACTTTCGGACTGAAAAAATTACAGGTTTAAGGTCTCTTTCTAACCAAAGCTAAAATGTTGGAAAAATTTGCAAATGTGTTAGTACGGAAAATGTTTATGTGTTAGTTTCTGTCACACATTTCTAGTAGGGTAAACTCCGCGCATGCTTACGGCTTTGTACCTATATCTGTACACTAGCTTATACCCGCGGGTTTCACCCCGCGGTTTTATACAAATATGAAAAATAATTTAATGATGTTAGATTTTATTTCTGTGCCCATTTCGTTATACCTCGTTATTTTTTAAGCGAGTTAAGGTATTTAGGCCTTTTAAAACTATCTTCTTCTTCTTCTTTTTTGGCGCTGTAACCGCCTAAGCGATTTTGGCCGAGTTCAGCAAAGCACGCCAGTCGTTTCTCCTCTGTGCCAACTGACGCCAATTGGAAACGCCAAGTGAAGCCAAGTCCTTCTCCACCTCATCTTTCGATCGCAGTGGGGGCCTCCCTCTTCCTCTGCTACCACCAGCGGGTTCCGAGTTGAATACTTTCAGAGCTGGAGCGTCGGTGTCCATTCGAACGACNAGTCAGGCCAGCACAGAGATTTACGTGCACGAGAGCCCAAACAGCGGTGCGAGTGATGAGGGGCGCTGGAGTCCTGCATCATGGAACCCAAGCGACTACACGACTCGGAGTTTAGTAGCAAGCAGCGAGGCGGGAAGCGGCACATTTACGCCAGCAGAAGTATGCGGCGATAGCAACGACGATGACTACGAGTGGCATCTAGGCGAGATGATAAGGGCGCCCACGCCAATCGAGGTGTCCGATGACAGCTATAACGAGCCACGCAGGGGCGAAATGGGCATCGAACAGGAGGACTGCCAACGCCCAGGTGAGGGTTATATAGAGTATGTCCGGCGCATCACTATGACGATGCGAATTTTTAACGACGCGTCACACAACACCGAATCGTGGCGACAACCACCTGCGCAGGCGTTGTGCGACGCAGCAGCGGCGACAATATCAAGTGATTATAGAGGCGATGAAGGAAGCGAAGAGGTGAATGCGCTCTCCCTGTTGGTGGAGGAAGACCGCGGGTTAGAGCAGTTGTTGGAGGAGTTGGCCAGCACAAACACAGAGCCAGCAGACCCGATGATGATCCCCGAAATCGAACGCTGGTTGCAGGACGACAATCTACAGACAGAAGCACTACCCGGCGAAACTTCAGCGGCACAAACCCGGTGCCAAGGGAGCTGGTAAGGGTCATTCAGGAGCGGCTGCAGCGACAACAAACTAAACGCCAGACATTCAGGCACGCGGTGGGCACAATGGTGTACCGCGTATGTATTACAGGCGCGTGGATGGCGACAATCATGCGTCCAGAGGGAAGTAAAGGGGGAGTGTGAAGACCCCAAGTCCCTCCACTCAGGGACTTCACAATTGGCTGTCATATATTATTGAACTAAATTATATTTTGAATTGTTAAATACATATATATAGATATAAATGGAGAACTGTTGAATTTATTTATACATATTAAACGAATAGCTAATTATATACATACATACGTGAAATCGAAAAACATACATATGTACATATCTATATTGAAATCTGAAGTACATACATACGTACTTAGGTATGAACAAGTAAAAGTAATTAAAGAAAATGTTAGCAACAATGTTGTTAGGATAACTGTCTGCCTGCGTGCAGGACAGTATAAATAGAGCAGCAAATGTAATTTCGGTACTTCTGGTAGAGTAGTCGTATACTCCAGTCGATCGTGAAAACGCAGATTGGAATGGCTAAGCAACGATTGTGAAGACTAAGTTGCTTAGTAGGTAGTTAAGATATATGGTGTGACGTGAAAACGCTGCCAAATCAATACGTTATATTGGTGTGACGTGAAAACTCTGCCAAGTAGTACTTATGTATATGGTGTGACGTGGAAACGCCGACAAGGAAATACGTTATATTGGTGTGACGTGCAAACGCTGCCAACTAAATAGCGAAATAAAGAAACGCCACTATAAGAATCATTGGCGTATTTATTTTAACGTTCGGATAAGGGAACCCAACATCCGACCGAGCCACAGCCCAGCTATAGACCGAATAAACCGGGGTCGTTACAAGTTGTGATGTCAATCCACAACCTAAATATGTACACATAAAGGGTTAGTTAATAGACTTTAAACATGTGGTTCGAATTATAATACCCCTTATAAATTAACAGCCCGGCGAATCTACACTTGCTTTGTATTTAAATGTCGCCAATTCAAAATTAATGTAGTGTCCGAAATAAAAATAATAATTTGTATACGTAACGTGCAGAGTATTATCTTGGGAAAATACCAAAGTTAAAGTTAAAAACCAATAGCAATGCCTGTGGTTTTTAGAATAAAGAAATATCCAGATTTTTAGACCACGAGCACCCCGATTTTTGGGGATTATTACTAGTATGTTTCTATTTCACTGTCTACTTTGTCTTTTTGATTAGTGTTCACTTGACGGTGGCTGATGATGGTTGCTCAGCTGCCAACCGAAATGCATCGGTAAAAAAAATAAAAAATAAAAATAAGAATAAAATAATAAAAAAAAATTAAAAATTTTGATTTAAAAAATATATTGAGTTTCTATTTACGATATTTGCGGTCAAAAAGGTTAAAACATAAAAGTAAAAAAATTTGAATAATAAGACCGCAAGCAGACTCTAAATTTAGTGATTAAATTACTAAAACGGCTTCAAACTAATTCTGCAATGTTTCGCCGAAATTTCGAACTTTTTAATTAGAATCTTTAGAAAAAAATTATGTTTGCAGTTTTGTACCTAACTCATTAAAATTGAGCATAATAAGGTGCGAGTGGAAAGTGCTGCTCATTTGCTTCTCTTAAAAAAAAGGTCGTACATACTTACTTTGCATGAAAAAAATACGTAACACCGTCAACAAAAAAAAAATCCAAAAGTTAGGGGTAAGCCTGACAGGCTTAAAATTCCATTTTATTATACTAAAATTTAAGGAATCTTTTTAAATGTTTTAGGGAAAACAGTGTGAAAAAAATTTGCAAAATCATTTTTTGTCCCATATTCGGCTCTCATAAATATGGTCACCTTATGTATAGTAGTCAAATTTATAGAGAAATGTACTTAAAACAACAAAGTACGTTCGCTTACAGTTCGCCAAAATTTGCCTTATTTCTGGACATTCATAGCCGCTCTTGAATTGTTCACACTTTTTCACTCATACAGCATGCCTACTACATGCATTCAATGCATACAACCGATTTCTGCTGGGCTTGTTCGCACGCACACAGTGGCATCAATTGCACGCACACTACAAAAGTGCTCAGCCGAGGCTGCCCACCTCTGACCACCGAAGCCTGAAACCTCCATCAATTTCGTTCGATCATGGTAAATGAATAAAAACTATAAATGTGTTCGCACTAATCAGCACTGTTTGAAAACTTACCCTACTGTTGTTTGCTACACGTGACTTATTTTACTTAACTGCTGATGTCTGGCAATGGCGGTAAAGAAACGAACATTTGAATACTGTTTGTTTACTTTAGCCTTGGCATCTGTTAAAGTAGTAGGGGAAACCATTTAAGTGTTTTGGAAATACCAAAGTATGTACATATACTACGTAGTACATGTACATACTTACAAAGCCTTATCTAGAGTGCTACTTGAGGGTTTCGAGACAACGAATTTTACTTGCGTACTTTACTTTAACTAAACGCTTAGAAACAAGACAATTATCGGAAAGCGATTATCATACCCCAATCGTTTTGAGATATCCGCAGTGGTTTTATTCCAGATGGCGGAGTGTTTAAATTTATAGCTTTCAGAACTGTAGTCATGTGCTCGCCATGATTCACAATAGTCATAAGGCCGCAAAAGAAGGTCTTGTTCAGGGATTGGCTCCGGCTGTACGTTGTTATTTTGGCCAAAAAGACCCTCAACGAAAGCCTTGAAACTTTCTGTAGTGCGCTGTGTGTTCGTGTGGCGAAACTAATAAAAATGTAGTATTAATGGGAAATTCTTTTTTGATGTATTTTTTTTAGATTTTACCTTGTAGTATGTGTTGTTATAATTCTTGGTCAAAATATCACCATAATATCTTTGATAAGTTTTCGCAGTCCCCTTTAGATCTTCGTAACCCTAAAAGTATATATATAAGATTTTATGTACATATACATATTTTTGATAGTAATAAATTTTTTTTCGCATCTAGTACAAAAATGTATATAAAAACTTAAAATAATAGCCGTATTTCTTTTAACGCGAGTACACTTTGAAGTTACAGTAAGTACATGTTCGCCGAATTACAATCGATTGATTCTTTTAATAAAAATCTCGTTTTCATTGTTATTAAAGAGTTAAGTTTACGCTGCCTTTATGAATGAAAAAGGTGTCTGAAGGTTACGAGTAAACCGATGTGGTGGAGGTTATGCACAAGTCGGTAAAAAATAAAAAAAATTGTCCTTATCGAAACTGTGGTTTTTACATAAATTTTCTGCAAAACACAGATTAACAAACCAAGTAAGTTTGTGCATAGAGAAATAAATTAGTTATATCTAATTAAGGTAGTCGTTTTGTTNATTGTCCTTATCGAAACTGTGGTTTTTACATAAATTTTCTGCAAAACACAGATTAACAAACCAAGTAAGTTGGTGCATAGAGAAATAAATTAGTTATATCTAATTAAGGTAGTCGTTTTGTTTCAACGGAAACCAAACCAGACTGCAAAAACTTAACGTCATTAAAAATGTGCCGATTTTATCGTCAAAGACAACATATCGGGGACTTGAATTTACTGCTGTAGATTAACAAACAACAACACTAACATCGCACCGTGGGACCTTTTGGTGTCAGGAGGGTTAACATTGTGTAATAAAAAATTTAAAAATAACCTTATTCTATCTCGTTGGGCATTTGTGTGGTTATCAATTAACATTGGACGATTTCAAAAATTAATCACTTACACTTATTTAGCGGAACAATATACCGCTTACAAGCGCGCAAAAATGTCAAAATTTCGCGAAAATCGACCTATAACATCACACTTTAAATTTATTTGACAGATTTCANGATCACTTACACTTATTTAGCGGGACAATATACCGCTTACAAGCGCGCAAAAATGTCAAAATTTGGCGAAAATCGACCTATAACATCACACTTTAAATTTATTTGACAGATTTCAATGGAAGTTGGTATTTAGCGGTTTTCGTTATCATTGATTTCGAAATATATATTAAATTTTTGAAAATTCAAAATGGCGGATCAAATATTGTGGGCTACTTTTTTATTTTAAAAAAATTATTGATTGTTTTGAAACTTGGTATCCAGGGGCATTCGTCGTCGGTGATTTCGAAGCTGGTATTAAATTTTCTAAATTCAAAATTGTGGATCCAATATGACTAACGACTTTTTTAAAATAATTATAGATTGTAATGAAATTTGATTCCTAAGAACCCTCGGAGTCACTGGGTACGAATTTAAAATTTGATTTTCAAAATGCATATAATTGTATGGGCAATTCTCAGAAACTTCGAATTTCTTTGTGAAAAAATGTTTTTGAAGTGAAACTTCTTAGGCGGCGGTATCGCAAAAATGGAGAGTGAAATTTTTAAAACTGAAAACGTTACATTAGTCAGAAGGAAGATATAGGTAGTATAGGGAAGGGGAAAAAAGAAATAAAGCGACGCAGGACGGGTACGAGTACCTACATATGTATATATCGTCGTTTAAAGTACAAAAACCCCGTATCGTCATTCGCGTAACTGACATTGGCTGCCAAAAATTGGATTTGCTCACACAAGCTCTTGGCTTAATCCTTATCCATTCGTCCTAAAATATACTGGCCAGAAATGTGATTGCTTTATAAAAATATATACCCATTTTGAAATATGAGTATTTTTGCAGTCTAGAAGATAATTTCTAAAACTTCACATACGCGGTTTTGCATTTTATTGATACGCGGTTTTGCACTTTAAACGACGATATGTATATCGCTCGTTCGCTCGATTTCAATGAAACATACACCGATTTGAAGGATATAACTTCCTCTAATCCGGAAATGTTAATCCCGATACATAGGGGGCGTGGCATCTGACATATAGACTAAAATGTGAAAACCACTATATCTCTAAAACTAATTACGCTGGGGAACTGAAACTTAGCACAGATGCATAGATTGTAAATACCCTACTTACGGTGAAAAATGGTAGATACTGGGAAAGTGGGCGTGGCACCGCTCATACAAACTGAAATTCTCATATCGCTTATCTCTGGAACCACTTATACTAACGTCCTGAAATCGGGCATAGCCACATATGTTGTCAATACCATACTTTCGGCGAAGAGTGGTAGATTTTGGAAAGGGGGGCGTGGCACCGCCCATACCAACGGAAATTCTTATATCGCTTTTCCCTGGAACCACTTATGCTAACGTCACGAAAATTGACACAGCAACATATTGTTACGATTATCCTCGAAACCTTGAGGGATTACCCAAATATACTCGGGCTCGTATCGCTGGATTGTTAAATAAATGCTAACGATGACCGAATTGTAGTACAATTAAGTTTATTGTACAACAAACAATTTACAATACTTGCTAATACAGTAAAAACACTTTACAATACTTGTTAAAGCAATAACAACGCTTTACTACTTGTTAACACAATTAAACTTATAGCTTGCTTATTCGCAACTCGATTCTCTGCTCACTTTACTTGTAGCTTGCTGACTTGCAACTGTCCCACCTCGCTGTGGCGGCGCCCTTATATACCTGCGCTGGCACTTATGGCAACTCTAGAACATTCTGAAGTTTATCGCTCATTCTCTTTCTCTCGCTGTTCGCAGTGTTCATCCAACTTGACGTTTCTCTTTGTGGAACATTCTACGTCATTCCTCGAACATTCTGCCTATTTCTCGTTGTTCGCTTTGTGTTGCCGCAGTATTCGCCACACTGCCCTCCACCTAAGTCTGATCGTCCCGATCAGACACACCTGCGGTTCCAAACGCTGCAAGCCTTTCCAAGTGGACCACCTTCATCTTGTTTCTTGGTCTCCCAACGGTCTGGATCCGATACACTACGTCATTTAGCCGTTTTACGACCTTATACGGACCTTCCCAGTTGCATTGTAGTTTTGGGGAAAAACCTTTCTTTCGTTGTGGATTATACAGCAACACCAAATCTCCTTCCTGGAAACCCTCGGAATTCATCGCCTTATCATACCTGGCTTTCATCTTGTCACTCATAATTTGTGTGCGCTGTCTCACAAGAGCATGTATCTCTCTCAGCTCCTCTTCCAGGATGTTTGACGTCTCTTTTCCAATCCTTCTAGCATCACCAGTCACCCCAAACTTCAGATCACTAGGCAAACGGAGCTCACTGCCGAATATTACCCTTGCAGGAGTTTTACCCGTTGTTTCATGCACTGCTGACCGGTATCCCATCAGGAACAAGGGTATGCGGACATCCCAATCTTTTTGATTCTTGTCCACGACCTTCCGCAAATGCTCTTCCAGGGTTCGGTTGAACCGTTCCACCATGCCGTCTGATTGGGGATGAAGAGCCGTCGTTCGAGTTTTCCGGATACCCAGTATCTGGCACATCTCTTGGAACACTGCCGACTCAAAATTTCTTCCCTGGTCAGAGTGCAGCTCTATAGGTACACCGTATCTCGCAACCCAATTGTAGGTGAATACCTCCGCTACTGTTTTAGCTTCCTGGTTTGGAATCGGGTATACCTCCGGCCATTTGCTAAAGTAGTCCATAACCACAAGGACGTATTTGTTTCCCTGTGCGCTCATAGGAAATGGACCGGCTACATCCATTGCAATCCGCTCGAAAGGTGCACCTGAGTTATATTGCTTCATCTGGCCATGACTTCTGGATTTCGGCCCCTTAGCTGCAATACACTCCGCGCAGTTAGCAATCCACTCTGCGACCGATTGCCGACAACCAACCCAATAGAACCTCTGCTTAACCTTCTCCAGGGTCTTCGTGATTCCCAGGTGCCCTCCACTAGGACCATTGTGGAATTCCTTGAGTACATCCGGAATTCTTACCCTTGGAACTACTATCAGGTTGCGGGAGCACTGGCCATCTTCGCTTTCCCATACCCTATGCAAACAGCCAGATATTAATTTTAAGCTGTTCCATTGTGCCCAGTACGCCTTTGCGATGGGGCTTTCCGCTGCCATTTGCTCCTTAGTTGACCTCCTGTCCACCTCCGGTCCATGCATCAAAAGCTCCAGATCTGGATCTTCCTGCTGACACTTTCGTAGCTGTTCTTCCTTCCACTCTTCCGCTGGTGTTATTGTCGTTAGACGGACGTCTATAATGTCCTCTTTTCCCTCAGCTTTTGAGCAGTGTTTACATTCTAGGCTACATGGTCGGCGGGACATGGCATCAGCATTACCGTGGACACTTCCCTTGCGGTGCTCAATAGCGAAGTCATAACTTTGCAGTCTCTCAATCCACCGAGCTAGCTGTCCTTCTGGATTCTTAAACTGTAGTAGCCACTTCAGCGCTGCATGGTCCGTTCGAACTCGGAAACGTTGCCCATAGAGGTACTTGTGGAAATGTTTGACGCAGTCCACCAACGCTAGTAGTTCTCTCCGAGTTACGCAGTAGTTCCTCTCTGGTTTTCCAATCGACCGGCTATAG